AGTCTTTTGGATGACCTCGGACTGACCAAGTCTTTTGGATGACCTCGAACTGACCAAGTCTTTTGGATGACCTCGGACTGACCAAGTCTTTTGTATGACCTCGAACCGATGAAGTCTTTTGGGTGACCTCGGACTGACAAAGTCTTTTGGATGACCTTGGACTGTTGAGGTATTTTGGATGACCTTAGACTGTTGAAGTCTTTTGGATGAAGTCAGACTGACAAAGTTTTTTGGATGACCTCGGACTGATGAAGTCTTTTGGATGACCTTGGACTGACCAAGTCTTTTGTATGACCTCGGACTGATGAAGTCTTTTGTTTGACCTCGAACTGATGAAGTCTTTTGGATGACCTTGGACTGTTGAAGTCTTTTGGATGAAGTCAGACTGTTGAAGTCTTTTGGATGAAGTCAGACTGTTGAAGTCTTTTGGATGAAGTCAGACTTTTGAAGTCTTTTGGATGAAGTCAGACTGACGAAGTCTTTTGGATGACCTCGGACTGACGACGTTTTTTGGATGACCTCAGACTGACAAAGTCTTTTGGGTGACCTCGTACTGACCAAGTCTTTTGGATGAAAGACAAAATGTTTCAACAAAAATAAACCATCCAGAGGACCTGACAACTTTGTTGGAGCTTTCTTTAGTGATACCTCATTCAAGAAAGAGAACGTCCAGTTGTAATTTTACAGATTTAAACAAATGGGTTACATCTTTCCATTCCAAACTTATTTTTGCATGTCTGCAACTGTTTTTAAAAAGTAATGTAGGCATGTTGTTTTTTATTTGTACAACCCACACATTTATCAAGGCAGCCCTACCTCTAAAATCAACAACTGTGATTTAAGGTCCTGTTACAAACTGTAATTATCTAACGCACCGCAACACAATCAAAAACAACTATAAAATAGCTAAGCAATAACCAGCATAGCTATTGGGGAAAAAGGGGCTGAATTAATTGTGTAAAAGTGTAAATAAGCATTTTTTTGCCAGTACATTAGGCAAATATAGTTTTATTAACTGCCTGTCAATGAAAGTTTGTTGCTAAATGCACGTTGTGAAAGACTGAACATTTTGAAGGTTTCAGCTACCAGCTGGTACCACTAAACCCCCACAGCTTCCTGCTCCTTTGCTTCTTGGCCGAGTTGGTCAGATATCATTTTGTTTTTATGTAGCAAGACAAAAACTTCTAATAGGCGTTTAAATTAATGAGGCTTCTGATGCACCGAGCCCGACTGTTTAATTTTATTGTAAATGCTTGTGGAAAATCTCTCCCTTCCAGCCAGCTACAATGAATTCTGGGATTCCCTTACAAGTTTCTCAAGTGGAAAACGACTGCACTGTGAGCCCAAAGAGAACAAATCAGTAGACGCGTCTGCCTTTAACCCTAAAGATGGTGTGAACGTTTGTGAAGCATTCACTCTTTGTGATCCACTTTTCTTCTGGACGTTTTTTGGCGTGATTCTCATTCCGCAGTTTTCAAGTTATTTCAACAAATCGTAAATCAAAAAGATCAGCTCTTTCAGGACAATCCTACTGTGACTTTTGGTATTGGTGCAACTTTAGCGTTTGGAAATATTTAGCCTTTTCTGCCACTTTTTTCCTCATAGAAAATGAATTGAGCTCATTTTACATCCTTCAAATCTTTAGATCTGTTTACAACCTTTTACTGCTCCTTTCACAATTTGCTCTGCTTCAGCTTCGTTCAGCTTCCTTGTGCACATGAAAACTTCTTTCAGCTAATTTCAGTTAATTTCAGCTGTTTTGTGCTCCTTTCTGATTTTTTTTTCTGCTAACCAAGCTAATTTCAGCTTGTTATGCTCCTTTCAGCTTATTTCCACAAGTTTCTGCTTTTTCTACAATTTCATCTACTACTTAGCTGTTTTATGCTAATTTAAGCTTTTTCAGTTAATTCCACATTTTTTGCACTCATTTCAATTTTTTCAGCCTAATTCAGCAAAAATATGCTCTCTCCACTTCTTGTAATTTCAGCTTATTTTTGCTTTTTTTAGCTACTTTTCTTTCAGCTGTTTTTTTATGTTGTTGCTAATTTCAGTTATTTTCAGATAATTTCTTCTTTTGTGCCAATTTCTGCTTCTTTTAGCCTAATTGGACAAATGTGTTCTTTCTGCTTTCTTTTGCTAATTTAAGCTTGTTCTACCTTTTCAGCTAGCTTTTTATAAAAACTTTTGCTAATTTCAGCTGTTTTCAGATAAATTCAAGTTTTTGTGGTAATTTCTGCTACTTTCAGCCTAATTAACCTCTTTTGCTAATTTCAGCTTGTTGTGCTCCTTTCCGCTTTTTTCAGCTAGTTTCTGCTTCTATTTAGCTGCTTTTATTAAAATTTTAGCTTTTTCAGCTAATTCCATATTTTTTTTTTTAATTTCAGCTCTTTCCACTGCCTTTCATAGGTTAAGCTTCTTTCTACCTTTTCATCTACTTTAGATGTTTTTTTGTTGTTGCTAATTTCAGCTTTTTTAGCTGATTTCCTAATTTTTGTCCTCGTTTCTGCTTATTTAAATCTAATTCTGCAAATACGTGTTCTGTCTGCTTTCTTTTCCTACTTTAGGCTTGTTCTTCCATTTCAGTTACATTTCAGAAGTTTTTTTTTTTTTAGCTAATTTCAGCTGTTTTTCAGCAAGTTCTTCTTTAATAAGCATTCACATCAGATTTTTGCAGGAGAATCAGTTTCTCTAGTTTTTAGTTTTAGGAAAGACGAATGCTCAGAGCATGTGTGGGTGTAGCCTGCTGTTACTTAGGCTGAAGTGATCACTCCAATATGTGACAAATTAACTCATTTTTATTAAGTTGTTGTTTTTCGGTCGTATCGTTTTATGAAAGTAGTAACTAAACAACTTTCCGCTCACAAAGCCTTTCTTTCTTTCTTTCATTTTGTCTCAGGCTGCTCATTATGGATGTGGCTGCTGGGCTGAAAATGCCTCTAACATGAACCCTTTCTCTACAGCAGTGAGTACCTCAGGTATACCTGCACACTGTACAACCAACCTTTCAGTTCTTTGTGTGTGTGTTTAAATTGATGCATGTGCAACATTTACACCACCCCCCCCCATACAGTTTACGGCTAACATTCCTTTACTTTTGGAGCTGATCTAAATCAGCCTGAGCGAGTCGAGGCTTAAAAGAGCCTGATAATACTTTCCGATGACCTCCAACCATTCCCGCTGAGCGGTTCTCATCAGTCACTTCCGTAGCTGATTGAGTCATCGTACTCTACACACTCTTTGTTAGCCAGCTGCAGGCCAGGTGCGCCGCAAAGCTCTCGGGCTTTTCAGCCATGTTTGACGTGGGACACCTGCTGCAGATATAATTGAAAGGGAACCGCTGTGAAGCATGGTGGATTAGCGGTTAGCACTGTTGCCTCACAGCAAGCAGGTCGTGGATTCAAGCCCTGGGATGGACCTGGCATCTCTGTGTGGAGTTTGTGTGTTCTTGGTTAAACAAAAGTCAAATCAAATCAAATAAAATAATCTGGATTTAGGTTTTTTCAACCCATGAATTAACTCAAATGTATCAGTTTAAGTTTAAGTAGAAACCTGAGCGTTCATCTTTGAAATAAAACAACTGCAGCAGATCAGAGCTAATTCAGCATTAGGCTTTTCATGATCCTGTATCACACAGAGATGCTCCTAATTAGATATTTACTTCAGATATTTTATACTGATCCCATAAATGATCTTGGTTAACTCTCATCATTTGCCATTTGCTTCTGCTTTCGAACAGCACCGTTCAACTTGCAGCGCGTTCTGTTTTCTGTGGCGCGTCTTCCCATTCTGGGTCTATGTTGCACGCTAACGTCAGCTTTTCTCTGTAATGATTAGAGCTCGACCGATATGGAAATTTTGGCTCTCGCCAATATCATTATTGGGAGACGTAGGCGGTCGCCGGTAACCGATATAATGGCTGCAAAAAAATTTGCGCTTTGTTCACCCCCAAGAATCTAAGTAAACAGCGAGTGGGGCGGGGCTTGTTTATTTAGCGCAGCTGTTAGCATCCATGAAGCTAAGCTAATCAGATCCACCTTTAATTAGTCCCATTGTGCTGCCTTGTGTTCAAAGACAGTAATAAGTTCATCACTTAAATGAGATGATAAATAAGTTCATAATTAATAATTAAAGTAAATTCTTGCTAAAAACTGTTAAAATGTTTTGGGTTTGAATTCTAACCACAGTGAGGCATCTGATCTTTGTTGTTTTGTTCGTGAAGTAGTGAGTGCTCTTACCACAGAACAATCTTTGATATATTTTCTCCGGTATTCCCTCAGTTTTCTTTCTGATACTGAGTGAAATTCAGGCTGTTATAGCAGATCTGATACTGATATTTTGTGCAAATAATTATAAAAATAAAAATATATATATATATTTTTTTTAAAATAAGGGGCAGATATTATAAGAATTGTTTTCTTCTTTCTACACCCTTTTCATTCAGTGTTTTTTTTTCTTTTTGATGAATTGGTTTTGTTTCTTTTAAATGAATGAATAAATTAATTTAAAAAAATCGAATGCGTCTGATAAATCTAAAAAACAGCAGTGTATTTCAAATCAAAGCTTCATACAGAATACAAATCATCAAATTAATTAATTTATTTTAAACTCTGGAGTACATTGAGGTAGTGGCCTCGTTTACAATATAGCTGAGCTTATACAACATAAAATAACAGAGGACTCAATCAGACAACACGTGTAAAAATGGTCTTTCAAACACTAAAAGAAAATAAGCACGATCATAAAACTGTTGGAATAAATTATTAAATATCAATTAAATACATCTCAATAGTTACTTTCCACTGTGTTCCTGTTAATATTACTTGAAATGGCAAAAGTATTGATAATTTGATTTGAGAATCGATTCTAGAGCACAAAGTTCTGGTATCTGGGGTATCGATATTTCAGAATCGACCCGCACATCACTAGTGATTGGAAAACTAGGGGTGCAAACGGCTCATATACATGATAAATTTATCCTACACGCTTGTGCTTTGGGAGACTTTCATCTTTTTACAAATTCATAAATAACAAGGTCTTGAATAAAATCAAGAAAGTGAGCCTGAAGCTTTATTTTATTTTGTTCACTGGCTGTCTAGCTTCACATACCGTACTTGCCGCCGTACATTTCATTTATTCATTCATTCTTTTAAAAGAAACAAAATCAAATTCATCAAAAAGAAACAAACATTGAATGAAAAGGGTGCAGAAAGAAGAAAACTCTTATAATATCTGCCCCTTATTTAAAAACAATATAAAATGTTGCATCGCTGTATAAGTCGCATCAGTCCAAATATGTCTAATAAAGTGGGAAAAAAAAAAACAAGTCGTATCTATTGTGTCACCGCTGACGTGTTGCGTTTGTTACATGTCGCCGCTGACAACCCGAAAATGTGGGCCGGTGTGCCAAAAATCAACTGACGGCCACGGGAAGACTTTTAACAAGAATTGAACAATATTAACAATTAAAAACAATTATTTGTTTGCTCGACATTATAGCAAAGGTGTGTCTCAATTGAACTTTTCCTTAATAAATGCACTTTGACCGTCACATCAGCTGCATTTCAAAAGCCGATTCGCGGCTGCGGGAGCGCACAGAGGGAGGACTCGCTGTGCATTTCTTCAAAATTTAATAAGATCACCACCTAAAAACAATTATTTATTTGCTCAGAATTATATTAAAGGTGTGTCTCAGTTGAACTTTTCTTTAATTAAAGGACTTTAACGGTCAAATCAGCTGCATTTCGCCTGGGCGGCGCGGCGAAATGCAGCTGGTTTGACGTTTGCTCCAGGAGTTCCGGAGCGAGACAAAGGTGGCTGCTACGGCAAGCCAAGTGTCTCACTAATAGCCACTTTTACCTATTAATGAGACCCTTGGCTTGCCATAATAGTTAAGTGCCCTCTAGTGGCTGAAAATGGTAGTGTTCAATATTTTCCATGTCAGAATGAATAAAATCGTTCCATCTCAGCCAAAAATTGTTTTATAAATATGTAGAAAAAATAAGTAGATATGTCGCTTCGCTGTATAAGTCGCATGCATGGTAATTTATGCAAAAAGGTGCGACTTATACAGCTAAATTTACGGTAGTCACGTGTTGTGAGGACAACATACCCATGCGGTTAGCTTGCTATCTTGAGAGGCACATAGCAGGTTGGAGGATTGAAGGGAATTTATTATTGTGGATTTTTATTTTATTTTACAGATCGGTTCAAATCAACTTACCACGGTCTGTTCAGCCAAATACGCAACACAGTTTCCACTCCCTGCTTCGTCTGCGCTGAACGCCCAAAGTGAAAGTTAAAGTGGACGGCCATGACTTGAAAGCAGACTTCATGCGCCCTCTGCTGGATACATTGTGCAATTACAGCTCGTTCCCAGCATTTATGGGTGAAAATTAGAAGCGTTTATATCGGCCGATAATGGGACCATTACGGCCGATACGATAGGTCCCCAAACGCCCATATCAGCCTAAATTATCAGTCCTACCGATTAATTGGTCGGGCCCTGGTTATTATTTTCACTACTGGTACAAAAAGGCGCAACAGCTTTGTCTACCCATTTCTTCACCTGCATTAGGAGTTAAAATGAAGCGCAGAAATGCTATTGATAAGAAAGAGACCCACCAGCTGTGTCTTGTGTGAAGTTATCAGACGTGAGTGATTACTGGACATGATTAAAATAACATTTAGTGTATTGAATTATTTGAACTAAGCCCTCTAGTGCCAGACAGTGATATTAATATTGTTATGGTTCATGAAGTGCCTTCAAAGACATACATTTTTACAGTTATCATCTTAAACTCTGTAAACCTAAGCCCTGGCATTTTGGACTTAAAGTAAAACAGCTGTTGAGACAAAGTTCTGCTCCTCTCTCAGTTCTGCTCTTTCCTCGTGAAAACACATTTGGTTTTTCTTCTCAGCGTTCTCAAAAGTAAAAGTGTCCCTCTTTTGGCTTTAAGCAACAACGCAGGCTGTTCAGTTTTAAATTCGAGGTGGAGAGGCCATATACGCGCCTCTTCTTTAAGATGTGTAGACATCTGCCGCGCTTCTCCTGGGGAGCATTAAGGAGCTTTTGATGTGGATCTGCAGCCTAATGCATGGCAGTGCAGATGAACTGATTTGATCAGACAGGCTGAAGCTTGAGTTTTATGCACTTTAACCTCTAATATATCCTGCGTTTTGCTCGCAGATGATCCGCAGCAGTTGCAAGGATCTTCAAGGTAAACGACGACAAATTCATTCTAAACCTTTAGTTTTGCAGTAATTGTTGCTGTGGGTCTAAAAACATGCTCCTTTCTGGATGAGAGACAAAAAGGCCTGTTTGACAGATCTGCATAAACACATAGATGTATTAAAAACACACTTCAGTTTTGATCTGAATGACCAAATAATCAAACGAGTTGCTGCTGTTGGTCATTTACCGTATTTTTCGGACTATAAGACGCACTTAAAATCCTTTAATTTTCTCAAAAATCAACAGTGAGCCTTATGTATTAATTCTGGTTGTGCTTACTGACCTCGAACTGATTTTATGTGATACTCGGAGCTCAAAAATCTGTCAAAATGTTTCAGTTTTGCTTAATGCGCCTTATATTCCAAAAAATACGGTACCTGCACTTTCATTCCTATAGCATGGTTAAAAGTTACGTGGTTGACCAAAGTGCTTTACAAGCTGGATACAAACATCAATCAAATAAATACAGTAAAAGCCAGAAAATAAACTGGGAATCAAACTAAAACAAGGAAACACCACAACATAAAATGGGACTCCAGCTAAACTTGGATTGAAGTCCATCTATCATTTTGTTCTGAAGTCGTGTCTTGGGGGCAACAACTTCCTCTTCACCACAATGGACCGGCACAGTCTGCAATACGCTGCGCTGACCCGTCTGTGGATCTCACGCTCCATTCTTCCCTCACTCGTGAACGAAACCCTGAGATATTTGAACTCCTCCAGTCGAGGCAGAACCTCATCCCC